TGTCGTCCTAAAGTGTCCTAGGTCAACTTTTTTCTCTTTTTAATTTGTAAAAAAATTCAGGCTGTCAATATATACAAAAATCAGTTTTTTGCAGTCAATGGTTAAAAAGTTATTCTAATTGTTTTTAAGCAAAAAAATTGACGTGTTAATTAATTGCCAAATTAATTTAAAATATTTAAAATTATTTTTCCTTATTTCTTTAAAATAATCGTAATAAAATAAATCTTCTTCTTTTAGAATCCATTCGTGTACTTAATATACCTATTTAATTTTCTAACTTACTTTGACCGATCATCTTGAATTTTTAATCTTATTTTAAGCACAATAAGACCCAACATTGTGTGTTAAAGTTTATTTAAAAAATTTGTTATTAGTTGTTAATATTTATAAAAAACCGAAATTTTTGACTTATTTTACTTGTAAGTTTTGACTTCTCAAATTTGTTTCAAACGCTTTCAAAGTCCAAAAAATCGACTGCAGAAAACATATAGGTTCTTGGTATAGAGGTCCATACTACTCGAAATAACTGCCGGTTGCTTGGCCGGACGAGTGTCACAAATAGGGTACTTTTTTTGCCTATTTCCCTGGTCTATAATATATAAAAATAATAGTTCTTAAATATCATTTTTAATAAGTTTTTAATTTGGCGTTTAATAATTTTTGCATACAAGTTGCAACTTGTCTCGTAACTTGTTTTAACAATACTAGTGATCTTGTCCATCATTATGCGACGGGGGATCAATTGCCATCTACAGTCACTCAACTAAATTTTTCTGACTTGCATGTAAACCAAGTTAATAAAAAGTAACATAAATAAAGTTTTTTGCTTTATATTTTACCTTAAAATTACATATTATATTACAATAACCAATATATTTTTCAATTTTACTAAAAATTTATTTCTGATTAAGTAGTAAAATGTCCAAGTAAGGATATTTGATCGTTTCAATTCGAAATACTAAAATTTTTATGTTTACCAATTATCAAATTAAACCTAAAACTGTATTTTACAAGATCTCGAAGACTGCAGGGTTCCACGACCGCTGTGATATAAATATCGTCGGCTGTATGCAATAGAGGCTTAACTCAAAAATTTACAAAATTGAGGTAACATCGCCAGAGGGTTTGAAAGGGCCTTATTTATGACCTACAAAACTGGCACAATAATAATAGCAAAAATGTCCGCTAGAGGTCACTAGTGCCGCTGTGACATGTTGTCAGTTGAGATAAATTGTTTCTTGTCACTTTTGAGTTATGCCGTAAATACCGACACTTTTGAGTTGTACCAGTATATAGCGATATTTTCGAAATGCATCAGTAAGAATTTTGGAGTTGTGTCACATTAAATGAAAGGAATAAATTTATTGTTTTAAAAATGTCAGATCCAAAGGGTTAACAGAAAGGAAGTGAATTAAACCTATCTCGAGCAGCAGTAATGTAAGTAATATTATCAATATTATTTTAATGTATAATTTCAAATAATCGATTTAGTAGAAAACTTTAGACGATTTTTTGTTACAACTGCCAGTTTAAACAAAAAATAAACCCATTTTAGTTCTGATGCGGACCCTCATTACGTGAAAGATAATGATGTATCGTCTACATTTACAGAGGTATCTGGTGAAAATGTGGAGATTAAAGTACTAGAAGACGAGACGATTAATAAACCTAAAAGTAAGAAAAGGAAGGCTTGTCCGAACGAATGGAAAAGAACTTGGAAAACCGTGATCAGCAAAAGAAAAGTGTCCAAATGATTTTTTATATCAACTATTGGAGTTACTGATAACCAAAATACAATGACCAAAACTCCAATAATAATACATCTGAGGAAATAAAAAAGGCGAATAATAATTGCAAACAGGTGTTAATATGGTCTATCAAAGTACTTTGGTGTGACTGGAATGGGCGAAATAGACAGCAAGGATACATAAACAAACAAGACAAAAAAGGAGTACTACTAATAGATTTGCTAGAGAAATTAAGACGATGGGAGGAGTATGTTAGAGAACTTTTCCAAGATAAAAGAGGTGAAATGCAGAAAATACAAGAATTAAATGCTTTAGAGAGAACAGAAGATCACGATAGATGAAATCAGATATACTATCAAAAACTCTTATAATAATAAGGAAGCTGTATTAGATGAAATACCAGTGGAACTGTTAAAACTAGTGGAAGAGGATAACTTGGAAGTATTGGCAGATTTATTCAACACGGTGTACGATACGAAAATAAAACCACAAGAGTGGCTGAAGTCAGCATTTATAACCATTCCTAATAAACAAGCAGCAAAAGAGTGCTCTGATTATCGAACACTGAGACTCATGGGTCATACCTTAAAAGTACTGCTGAAAGTAATACATAAGAGAATATACGAAAGGCTAGAGGAAGATATTTGCGAGACGCAGTTCGGGTTTCGAAATGGAATTCAGCGATATCGGGATGTAAACGTTGATCTAAACTTGTGCTTCGTTTACTACGGAAAAGCTTTCGATAAAGTAAGACATGAAAAATTAATATCAATACTTATGAACAAGCGCATTGACAGTAAAATCATAAATATAGTGCAAACATTATATTTGAATCAAAGTACCATAGTTTAAATTGATGGTCAGTACTCAGAAGAAATGAAGATCTGTAAAGGAGTTAGACAGGGATGTGTTTTATCGCCACTTTTGTTTAACTTATATTCTGAAGAAGTTTTTCAAAACACGCTCCGGGAGTTACCGTTAACGGAAAATTAATTAACAACTTACGATATGCAGACGACACTGTGATCATAGCAACGAGTATAGAGGATCTACAACATCTTATCGAAAGCTTGAGTATGAATAGTGCTGAGATGGATATTACTATAAACGCTAAAAAAACGAAGTACATGCTAATTACAAAAAGACCACAAAATATACATCACTTATTGACAATCAATGGTAACGTGATAGAACAAGTAGACCAAGTAGAAAAATATCAGTACTTGGGAACTTTGATCAATGAAACCAACGATCATACTGTAGAAATAAACAGGCGAATAGAGATTTCCAGATCAGAATTTATACGAATGAAGCCACTTCTAACGTACAAAAATCTAAATTTGTAGATTAGACTATGTACCATTTGATGTTATATATTTTCAATATTATTATATGGAGCTGATACTTGGACATTAAAAAAATGCAATTTAAAAAGAATCGAGGCTTTCGAACTCTGGTTATACCGCAGAGTATTAAAAATATCATGAACTGATAGAATTACAAATAAAGAAGTACTGGAAAGGGTTGGTAAAGAAACAGAACTAATCACCACTATACAAACCAGAAAACTGGAATACCTAAGCCACATGATGAGGGGTCCAAAATATGAAATTTTGAGACATAATACAGGTAAAGATTCAAGGAAGAAGATCTGTTGGCCGAAGGCAAAAGTCAGGTTAAAGAATCTACGTGATTGGTATCAATGCAGATCGATTGATTTGTTTAGTGCAGCAAGTTCTAAAATAAAAATAGCCATTATGATTGCCAACTTCCGTAGGGAGACGGCACTCTAAGAAGAAGACAACCTATTTTGTTACAGTCAATTAAGATGAGAGCGATACTATCTTGTTAAAAGAAAAATTGTCTATCTCATCAACTAATCACTTCAAGCTAAATGTATCATATATTTTTAAAATCAGCACAAAAAGGAGAACACAAATACATACAATATAAAAAAGGGGGAACTATTTAAAGAAAATAAAGGGGTGAGAGGGTGCCTTTCTCAGCTAGTTTAAATATGCCATAATTTCTCCCCATTCAAATATTAATTAAGGTGTTTCTGTGCTTTTCCTAAAAATTGGAAGTTCAAAGGATATTTAAGGTGAAAAGTTTTATCTGAAAAGCACTGTATAATAATATATAAATCATAATTTGTATCGGGCGCATAGCACGCGTACCTTTTCGCTGCGAGCCGATCTTACGTCTCAGAGCGCGCTAAAAAATATCGATATCTTGGCCAAAAATAAACCCCTCGACCATTTTCGAGAGCTCAAATTTTCGTTTCGAGTTCTTTTATATATATATATATATATATATATATATATATATATATATATATATATATATATATATATCCGGTTTTTTAGGCGTTACGCCCGTCCGGTAGGGATCTATGGAGGAGTATCACCGAGCCGCAAGCCCTTATCTCTTGCCGTACTGCTCCACCATAGGCCGATCAGATCCTAGCATATTCTAGTCTAAGCCGCATATTCATCTAGAATTTTAAACTGCTGCGTTAGACTTTTTGTTTTCTGTACACCGAGCTGGGGCTCGATCCCACATCCACTAAACCATTCGACAGTGAAGCGAATGAGACGCAGCCGCACAGCCCGCTGAGCTATCTGACCTATCGAGTTATTTTATCATTACTGTTAATTCAAGTTAATAAATGTAAACTGCTCAAAATTTGCTTAAAACCCTTATAAAAAAATTAATTTACAATTTTTTTTTACAAATTTACAACTTTAATATCGATGAAAACTTTAATACAAATGAAGATAAATTAATTTAACAAATTTTGTCTGAAGGTCTACAAATTAAGCTTAAAAATAAGATTTTGTGAAGTTCATTTGCCTTCTTAAAAACTAGTTGAAAAATACTTATTTTGCAACCATGTTGCACTAATTTTATAATATCTCGAGTTATAATCATTGGACTAAAGTTTAATAAACACTATTTTGTTTGTTTTTTTTGAGGAAAAAATTTAATTTGAATAAAAAGATTTCCAGCTCTTTCCGTTTACGAACTGGAGCCTTATAAACGATTAAATTGTTGATGACAATTTTTTGACCCATTGAATCGAAATTTACCCTCGAAATTCATAATCAGCTGCCAAAAATACATAAAAAATTAAGTGAAGCCATTAGAATTGCCTACGGGCCATTGGGAACTGCCCACAGTAACCTAACTGGACTCTAGCCTAGTTATAATAAAAATATATAAAAACCAATATATGTAGGTTTTATCATTTCGTTACGTATTATCATTAATATGATCTACACTGTATTTTCCACTGTCTTCAGTTTTTTTACAGAGATTATCGTAACTTCTCATATAGTCTCTAGTACTTTCTACTATATCTTTTCTCATTGCAGTCAATTGCTTCAAATATGATTTAGGAGATAATGACCACGTACTGTACTTTTTTTTGTAGGTTTTTGGTAAACTTCCATAATCCGAATAATTTGGACCTAAATCATTGTCTAAATGCGATGATTCATATTCTGCAAATATCTCATCAGCATTAACGGTTCTTCCATGGGATATTTGGACGAGAGATAACGTTTTCTCTAATCTTGAACATGCTGCTTCGAAGGGAATTTCGTATTTATTTACTGGTAATTCTGTGAGTAGTGGTTCAGATTGAGTAGAGCAGTTATACATAACAGGAATTATTGTTTGGGATCCCTTTTCTTTAAAACATGTACAATATTTTTTGTCAGAATTTGATGATTGATTACCTTTGTTAACTAATTGTCCTTTATTCTCAGTTAAAATCTTATTATGTGTTAATTTTTTCTTTTTGGTTAAGTTTTTTAAAGATTTTAATCCACTTACTGTTACTTGCAGATCATAAGAATGATTTTTTTGGTCTTTTTCTGACAATGTTGACATGATTTCTGTTGCTTCTTCTAAAAATGCAGACATTGCACTCACTATTCTTTGAGCTTCTCCATTTTCATTTTTCAGAATTGTTTTTGGTACTCTAGATGATACTAAATTAGATGTTGTGGCCTGGTTGTAATTATCTGTAGTGACTGTAGTATCATGTAGTATAAATGGTTCATGGACTGTAACTACGTCATCATATTCAGTTCTGTTACAGTACAGAATTCTCGGTTTGGCTGTGACAACTTCGAAGTCCTTTAAAGGTATACAATATTCTTTAGTTTGTACTGATGATCTGAATATTTCTGCAGCATGAGTTTTGAGCATTTTAATGGCTGGTACTGCCACCGAATGATTAGGTATCCAAGAGCATTTTGCTTTACTATTATTTTTTGCATAATCTTGGTTGAAGTGTTCAACGCAGTCTAGAAATTCATCCTTTAGTTCTCCCACACTTCCGTGATACCATGTTTGAACTTCTTTTGATGACATTTCAAGAGGCGGATGATTACTAAGAAGATCTGGAGTAACCATATATGAACTTTGAGCTTCAAAATTTTCTAAACTTTCTGAAGATACACTGTGGCTAGGTTTGTTTCCTTGAAGGTAGTTATTTGATATATTTATGTTAACTACATTAGTATATATGGCATCCGCAGATACATCTTTTCCTTCTTTAAGATATTTGGTAAACGATACAAGAGTTGAGGGCTTTGGAACTACTAACTGTTTTCTTTGGGAATCCTCTTTGTTAAATTGTGTACCGCAACTCCTTGTAATCAACAAATTTTTAACTGTTTCTGAATCTGTGACATCTATCAAATCAGAGCTATCCACACAGGCATCCTTATTATCAATTTGGGAAGTCATAGTTGCCACATGTTTTAGCTCTTCTACCAACACTTTCAGATCTGAAGTATTTGTAGATATTTCTTTCATTCGTTTAATGGGTATATGATCTGTTTGGATATCCTGATTTTTTATTCGATTGGCTCTTAATGCCCTCCTCGTAATATTTCTTAGACGTGCCCTGGCATTTTCTGATATTAATAATTCTTTTGGAAATACCGACAGATTATATGTATTTATGTCATCAGTATCTGTTGCAACTTCTTTCTTCTTAACCTTATTATACAATCTACTCGTAACTGCAGCTACAACTTGAGATCTAGGTGATGCCTTGGAACTTACACCAAATTTAGCTTCAGATCTTTTTGAAAGGTTTTCACTGGACATAGCTCGCAAAGATTGTCTTTTGGATGAAGTTTTTGATAATGAAGAAACGGATTTATGTAATGACTCTGTTCGGAGACTGCTTCTGCGTGATGTTTGACTTCCTGAACCTATTTCCGAACTTTGATTTGATGTAATTGATTTGGATGATATAGTGGAATCGTCTGAACCACACTTATCAGGATCTATTTTATTTGACGACATGATTAAAGTCACTTCTGAATGTTTCTTATTAATATTTGCGTTGACGTCAATATTCGGAATGAGTTCTTCTTCGTTCGTACAAAGAGGTTTGTCTGCTACATTTAATTTATGGGTTAATATAGTTAGAATATTCGATGGATTGGGCTTTCGATTTAGGTTATCTTCTGTATTTTCATTCTGCGTGTCTCTTGTAACATCTTTTTGAAAGTACATTTGATTTACAATCGGCACCTAAAAAGAAAAAAAACTATTACTTTACAGTTACTAAACTTATTCTATATAACAGTACAACTTCGAATAAAGTATGTATCTCAATGTTATTTACTAAAATGTAAAACTTATTATAAATACACTGTGTTCAGTTAAAAGGCACCTTCGTACAATATTTTAGAAATGCGCCATATTAGAGGGGAATACCGAGACAGGTAGATTTTAAAATTTACGTTTTTGAATTTATGTTTTATAATAAATTTATGATTTCAAAATTTAGTTTTGCTTTTATTTTGGATAATAGCAACATATGACGTGAAACTTATATTTGTGTCACAATTATATAGACAATGAAATTCTATAAACGGCGATATGTATCACTATTGCCTTAAAGTACGCAATCTTACAAACAATTTATAGTAGTCGAGTCGTCAGAGATTTGACCCCTAAAATCATACAAATTAGCTAAATTTTGTTGAAAACGTCAATTTTGAGGCCCCAAAAAACATGTAAAAATGTTTACCGCTTTTATCCATCCATTTACCAAGAATTTGTACGTCTTAAAAAAATGTTTCAAATAAAAAATGTCGCTGAGGTAATTTTTAACAAAAATGTCTAGTTGCATTTTTTGTGCAGAATGACCCGTTCTCTCAGAAACAACGCTTGAAGCGACCGGCGATTTTGAATGTCAGTTGCACATGCGAAATCAATTTTAAATCTTTGAATCAACTCAATGGTAAAAATTCGATAACTTGATAACTTTTAATCAGAGTGTCCTGTTGGCAAAAGTCAAAATGCGTTCTAAAGGTTAACAGTGCAGCTTTGGTATGCATTTTTTTATTTTGGTGTTAAATAAATTAATTTTTTTATTGTAACATCCTAATCTTTAAAATCTTTAACAAGAAATTTTGATTTTGAGTCTTGGCAAATAATATAAAGCATTGGAAATATTAGGCATATTTAAACTTTTAAAACGCAGAATTTAAACTTTTAAAGTATATACAATGGATCACACGGCAAGGTAAAGGCCTCCATAAAGATGGCATTGTGTGGAATTTGCAGATAAAGATATGTGGTTTTGAAAAAACGTACTTGTGTAATTAAAGAGAAGCACTTTTAAACGTTTTAGATTTTAGATTTAGCGTTTTTTAGGCACTTTTCAAATGCCTCACATTTGTTGTCAAAACTAAAAACCGAAATTTCATGTTATAGGTTTTAAATATTAGGATCTAACAATAGAAATTACATAGTGACATAGGGAGTAGCGGGAAGGTAAAGGTTTTTGCATCTTTTTGGGGTCCCAAAAACATTCTTAGCAAAATTAAGTTTGTTCGTATGATTTTTAGAGGTTCACTGGCATTTTCGTCTCTAACGATTGGTGTAAAGAGAAAACATCCGATCTTCAAGAGGAAACCTCCATGGAAGTCCAGGGGAAAGGGAAGATCTAATCTATATGGATCTTCTTCTTCTTCTTCAAGTTACACTCCTATCGGAGATTGGAAATCATTCTGGCAATTATAATTTTATTGGTTACTCGCCTGAACAGTTCAATTGAACTGCATCCAAACCATTGATCTGATCAGTATCTTCTGCGATCCATGCTCCAAGGTATTTGTACGAAGATATTTGTTCAATTTCTGTATTATCTAGTACTAGCTTAACTTTGATGTTTTGTGCTTTTGTATATACCATGAACTTGGTTTTCTTCAAATTGATTTTTAGTCCATAATCGTTGCAATATATATTTAGTTGTTCAGCAAGGTGTTGCAGTTCTTCTAGTGTTCCTGCCAGAAGGACGGTGTCGTCAGTATATCTTATGTTATTAAGTGGCTCACCGTTTATTATAAGGCCCTCACTGATCTCGGCAAGCGCTAATTCTGAGATGGCTTCACTGTATAAATTGAATAACAAGGTTGATAAAATACACCCTTGGCGCACCCCACGGCGAATCTAGATATCCTTGATCAGTTCGTTTTCAACTTTCACTTTGGCTGTTTGATTCCAATAGAGGTTACAGATGATTCTAATGTCTCTACTGTCTATGTTTTTATTTAATAAAATTTCTTTGTCGAATGCTGCACTCTGTCAAATGCCTTCTCAAAATCAATGGAATAGGCATATACTTCCTGATTAATATCTAAGCATCTCTGCGAAAGAACACTTACTGCAAACAGTGCACTCGTATTCCCAGTCCTTTCCTAAATCCCATTTGTGTATTACTTATACCTTCATCTAATTTCTTATGTATTCTATTGTGAATTACTTTTAAAAAAAATTTCAAGACATGACTCATTAAGGCTATGGTGCGATGTTCATTGCACTCCTTTGCATTGGCTTTTTTGGGAAGCAGTATGAATATTGATTGGAGCCATTCTTTAGGTATTATACCTGTTCTATATATGGTATTGAAGAGATCCAAAAGAAGATCAGTAGATTTAGTATTCACAATTTTAAGTAATTCGATAGGAACTGCATCAGGCCCGGGACATTTGCCACCTTTAGCTTGTTTCATTGCATATTCAATTTCTTCTCGTATAATGTCAGGCCCAGTATCATCCTTAAATTCTTTTGGTGCTTCTGTTCTCTTTTTGTCTTCAAAAAGTTGTGCCCATCTCTGCATTTTTTGGTTTATATCTGTTATAAGTGCACCCCTTTCATGTCTTAGTTGCCAAGTTTGAACTGTTTTTCTCATTCCTGTTAATTCTCTAATTCTTTTATGCATGTTAAAAAAGTCATATTTTTCTCAATTTCTTCTAGTTCTTGGCACTGCTCATGTAACATTCTCTCCTTATTCCTGTTAATTCTCTAATTCTTTTATGCATGTTAAAAAAGTCATATTTTTCTCAATTTCTTCTAGTTCTTGGCACTGCTCATGTAACATTCTCTCCTTAGCTTCTTTGATTCTCTTTTTTATTAATCGATCAGTTTCATTATATTTAATTGGATTTTTTGTTTTGAATGATTTTCTTTCATTCATTAATAGTAGTATTTCTTCAGTCATCCAATCTATATGTTTTCTATTCTTTGGCTTTAAGTTTTCATTTGCTGTTTTATGGATCACCTTCTATCAAATATGTACAGGTTAACCTCCACCACTTGGGTACTCCCTCTGCTGCCCTATATCAGACGTTTGTCCAAGGCACAAAACTTATGGATCTAGTTCAAGAAGCCATAATAAATGAAAACGTATATGTGAACTAGAAACAAAAAACTTCTTATTCTTACTCTTTATAAGCGATTCTGCTTGTTCATTGGCGGATTAATACCTCTATGGAAGGTTGTCACTCCATCTTTTGCGCGGTCGTCCGATACTTCTTCTGCCGATTGGTTACTTATCTCTTGCTATTTTGACTACACGGGTCTCCTCCATTCTGCTTATGTGGTTATTCCATTTTTTTTCTATTTTGTATCCATTCATTTATACACTGTACGTTACATTTTCTTCTAATGTCTTCACTTGTCTTTCGATCTCTCAGCGTATTTCCTGTAATTCTTCTCAGTACTCTCATCTCAGCCGTTTCTAGTAACCTTTGCGTTGTGGCTGTGTCGGGTCTTATTTGTGAGGCATATGTCATTATTGGTCTTACACTGGCTTTATAAATTATTGATTTTATCTTATTAGAAATGTGTCTGTTTGGCCATATAGTGTTATCAAGTCATCCTGTCAGTCTATTTGCTTTTTGTACTTGATATCTCACTTCTTTGTCCAGGTTTCCATAGCTAGACAGTGTAATTCCCAGGTATTTTATTTCCATTACTTGTTCAATACTGATGCCATCAATTTCTATTTTACATCTGGTTGGTTCTTTATTAACTACTATTGTTTTTGTTTTCTGAAATGAGATTGTCTCTTATTCCGTTGCCTATTTCTATAGGTAGTGTAAGTTGTCCATCTATTCTGACTTCCATTTTGTTGTTTTAGTAGATTTTCCGATAGTTTTTATAATATTTAGGGGAATATCTCTATTATACAGAAGATGGATTACATCTTTGAGTCTTACTCTGTCAAACACTTTCTTTACATCAATAAGACACAGAAACGCTGGTCTATTATGCTGTAGTGATTTCTCAGTAATTTGCTTTATAACGAATATTGCATCTGTACACGATCTTCCACTACAAAAACTCTGTTGTTCACCTGCTAAACTTATCCTCTGATTTATTAGCACTTGTAAAATTTTAGTTGTAAGTTTTAGAGTAGTATTTAACAAGTTTATACCTCTGTAGTTTTTTGGCTGTTTTTTATCTTCTTTTTTGATTAGTAGAATAAGTTTCCATGTTCGAACAAAAAACTGTAAGATATTAAAGGATAAATCCCCCTTGAATCAGATGGCGGCGATCATTAAAAAACAATAATACCTACTATAAACAGTAGAAAGTCCAAAACTACAACTCAGATGATTGCCCAAATATGTGATTTCTACAAATTTCAGTGCAAAACAGACGATGAATAGACTGACATGGGAAATCTAAATTTGCATTCCACATCACATCAATTCATATTGATATGTTGTGGCACGTGAAGTCATATATCAGTCGACCATATGCTAACAAAAACCGATGCTAACAAAAGATGTTCATTCAGATCAAAAATGTTTTACTTACACTTAGCCACCTACCGGACAAGAATAAGGTTAAGTTTGTTTGGGTGCCAGGGTAGAAAGAAGGGTGAACAAATAGTACGCAACGAGTGAGCAGACTTGTAAGCGAAACTTAAGAGAACGAAACTTCTGTATTACCAACTCCCATGTTCAGCTTCGACCAAAGGAATTATGAAGAAGTCTTTACTAAACGAAGATACCAAGAAATCATAAGAACCTGGAACGAATTACCAGGTCTAAAAGAACATATCATAATCTATTATCTATATAAAAAAACTAACCTATATAAATATACACATATATATATATATATATATATATATATATATATATATATATATATATATATATATATATATATAAATGTTTTGGATGGGTTGGAGTCAATAAAAGGAGCTATTGGTTAACTATTTTTTTATC